CCACACAGTATTTGTTCGCATAAGTGTGTAAGGACATGTAAGTACATAGAAATATTAACATTAGGGGGGTTGTTCAGTAAAGTGTAGGTGCCGGAATTGAAATGGAACTGAATTGCAAAATTCTTAGAACATCGGACGATAATACATTCATTGAAAAGGAGCGCTCAACAAGCCTATCCTCCTATCAACATAAACCAACCTAATTGTAATGAAAATATATCATTTTTATAATACCATTTTAAAAAGTTGTGTTTTCCGCAAATAAGGATTTGTCAGCCGCATCCATATCTGTGTGTGTGCTCAGCTAGCAAAACTGAACTAATCATTAAACTTAGATGATAAAAGAAACCCGAAAAAACTTAAGATGAAAACGAAAATAGGAACATGAAACGTTCATACACTTTAAGGAACATCAAAACTTTTACATATTTGTAAGGTTTTCTGCCAATATGGACTGCTTCGAGGTCAGATGGCTCGGCTCGACTGAATTCTCCAAATGGATTAAAAAAAAACTCTTCTCTAGGAAACCATATCAGCATAGAAATGAAAGTAGCGCCATCTCATTTAGGTTTTCTGGTTTGATAAAGTAGTACTATCTGAACTTTCGGAGGGGACCGTCATTCTATTGCCGAAAAAGAGTAACCTAAGTCAAGTGCAGAAACTAGAGAGCCATCACACTCCTCAGCATGGTTAATCATTGTTATTGTAGTTTCATAGCGGACACCAGTACTCTTCAACATCGTGCTCGATGCTGTCATGTCAAAAGTATCTCAAAACCACGGACGAATATCATGGAGTTTTCACGGACGATATATGCCTATACGCCCCAGGCACTCCTACTTATACGGAATGAAGCATGAAATGGAATAATTCGCAGTCGCACAGTCGCTAGATAGGAGAAGGATATAAGATATCATACATGTATCGATTTGTCACTTAAAGACACGAAAAGTCTAAAGAAAGAGTATGCAGGTTAACGACATTTCCTACAAAATTCGAATAAAAGTTGTAGGAGGATGACCACCCTAATTGGCATATGAATAGTTATAAATGTATGTATGTGTGGGTATATATGTTCGTGTTGTTTGTGGCATTAACACAGTAACCAATAAACATGGCTAAATAAATGGACATAAATGGAAACAACTGCAAGTGAGTCAAGATAAACCTATTTCATACACATACAAACGCCCATACATTGAAGTATGTAATGAAATTTTTTTATATGTATATTTTTCACCATGGGTTTTAAAAATATACTTCCTTGAACCTAAAAATAAGTGGAGAATGTAAGAAGGGTTGCCAATTATTTAAAAAAGAATTGGCAAACAATATTCAAACAATTAAAATGCTTGGGAAAGTGAAGTATTTTTTATATTGTTAAAAAATTCAAAATGTGGACTTTAATGTTTCCATTATAAACTATTTTTAGTTACGAAAAACTAATAATTTTCTGGGTTAATATAGGTTTAAAGGATCTCAACTATAGTTTGTTAAATTTTTAGGTTTAATTTATCGAAATCACACAGTTACAAAGTGGAATATATAATTTCATATTCGATTCGAGCCAGCTACAGTTGGTCAGACTTTCCAAAATATGGCTTCAGTGTATGTTACAAGTCCACATCAGCCAAAACTATAATAAATTTGTTTGGTTATGGCGGGGAAAGAAATGTCCAACAACCGAAAGAAAAGGAATTCAACCTCAGTTTTATTAGAAATAGTACGCTGATCATTCAAAAACTCTTACGGATACTGGCATGAAGATATTCCTCTATAAGTTTAGTCTTCGTTAGATTGCATTTAATCTCCAGACAATTAATATCTTCGTGCGCAGTCTTGTATTTATCAAGGCTTTCGCCATAATAACTTCGAAATATCTTCCCAATTGTACGCCCCCCTTGTTACACTATATCTATGTTATGGGCTTTTCGGCATAAGAGCAAATCGATAAATGAAATTACTAACGAATGGGTAATTAAAGGATTGTACTTGGATGAAACTGAAGTCTCGAACATTAACGAATAACCAGAATTGTCCCGGATTGAACTTAAACACACAATCTAGATTATGTAAAGTGGCTGCGTCCATAAAACTCTCTTATACGAAGAGCCAGGAAATGGCTCTTCGACATGGTAGCCATTGCATGCTATTTCATGGTGCACTCGCCTGGTGGAATACTTTACGAAAAGATACTCTGCATAAAATTTAAAGGTATTCTTTGTAGCATTAATGCCCTTCATATCACTCCATCTAAGGCTATATCCTGATGAATTAGTCACACATTGACCTAATATGCCTTTAACTCGACGATTATATTCAAGATAACAACCGTTAGGTAGAAATCGCGCACAACATTGATTACCGCTCTACCAAAAACTCATTTGATAAAAGATTTTCGTGCTGATCGAATACGATCCAAATGAAATAGAATCAATTCTCCTTGATGGATAAAACAAAGAATGTCGGCAGCCAAGACACCCTAAACCTTATAAATGAATTTTATACATCAAACTTGGTCCTGGAATGACGGAAATCCCTTAACGAAATGGCTAAACATTCCATAATAGGACTGTACTAGATTTTAGAGTTACTTTGCTATCTAGCTGTACGAGCTTGCTTACTAAGGTGGTCAATTGAGGGTATCCGTAGAACGGCGAAGATAATATGGCCCAGAGATGCTAGCTGACAACTGGCACCTTGGGCTTTACGGTAGAAGACTTCTACAGAAGACCTTAAGACTAAAAGGACATCTCTTTCTTTGTTAATTTCCGAGCCAAGTGGAACACGTATTCATAACGCTAGGCCGTTATTTTCAACTTAAATGTTGATTACAATTGAATAACTAAAATATTAAAGGAACATCATTCTTATTACATTCCTGAAGAACGATAATAAGCAAAAAATAGTTAAATTGGCAACCTTTACAAAAAAAAAGCAACTGCACTACTAGTTTACTAACAGCAGCAATAGTGGCGAAACTATTTATGTATGTACATTTATATGTCATTCAAGAAAAGGAACAAGGGAGTACAAAGAGACGTAGAGAGTTGAGTTTAAAATAAAATGAAGTCATTTTTTGTTGTTGTTGTCGTTTTTGTTGAACTGGTTCGTAGAGTGTTAATTTTTTTCGTGTATAATTTTAGAGCAGCTACCTAATATTTTATGATAAAAAAAGTAATAATAGATACTATTTAATGCATTAAAAAATTATAGTACAAGAAAAACATGTTAAATAACTAACTAAAAGAAAGGAAAAGAATTTACTTAGAAGGCTTTTAATTTATATATTTTTACGGTATTAATTAACAACAAAAGGACCCAAGAGAGTGAGTCGGTTGTACAGACATACATACATAGAAAGTAATGTGTGTGTGTGTTTCTATTTAGTTGTTACGAGTGTGTTAGTAAATGACTGAGAGGATAATAAATTGTTTTATATTTATCATTATGACACTAATTCATATGGAATGTTTTTGTTGTAATTTGTTGTTTAACAAATGACACTGACAATGGCCACCATATTCCAGTTCTTTAGTTTTTCATTTCCTTTTTTTTCTATTAGTTACTTTCTTTGTGAATGTTTTTTAATTCCAATAAGTATTTCTTCAATTTTGTATAAATATTAAAAAAAAAAACAATCTTTATATTCAGACATATTAATAAATATGTACATAATAGTACTAGTCAAAATACATACATATGTACATAAGTAAGTCCATCCGTCTGTCTGCTTATCTGTCGGTTTTTTATGTTTTCACTTATATAGACTTTAAATAAAAGAAAAGTAGATAAATGATAAGAAACAAAAAAAAATAGATAAAAAAAAAAACGAAAACACTACAATACACTTGGAAATAAAGAGCAACAGCAAAAATCATGTACGCGTATGTATGTATGTGGCAATAGACAACGAACGAGCGAGCGACATTATGTAAAGGCCAACAAAAAGTAGCAGCAGCAAAAAAAAGGATAACACTTTTTCACTCTATTCACTTTTTATTTGAATTTTTTCAGCACTTGATTATTTCCTTTTCATTTTTCAATTTATCAAAATAAATTAACATTTTCTTGTATTTTTTCTATTTCTTTTTATAAATTTGGCAGATTATTTCTTAAAATTTCGGAAGTTGTAATACAGCGTTTCTATTTTTTTCTACTTTTTCACTTTTAACTGTATAATATAAAAAAAATTGTATTCCTTTTTTTTCTGGGAATGTGCTTGTGCTTTAATTTTTCTTGCTCCGTGTTTCGTGTTGGTCGTGGAATTTATTTTTGTTGTGTATTGTGTTGCACGCGCGTTCAAATTTTAATAAGCCTGATGACGACGAAAACACCGAGGTTTCTCCTTCACTAAAGGAGAAAATCTAATATCCTGTCAAACAAAATGAGCGTTATTTAAAGGGAGCATAATGCCAGATGTTGATTTTGAGAGAGAAAAAGAGGGTGAATTAACTGCCAAATTGCAAATAAAAGAGAGCTTAACGGTAAAAAATAAATGGCAACGCGAAACAATGACTTTGTTTTGACATAAACAACGCGTTGCCATATAAAACTGATAGGTTTTGTAAAATAATTAAAAAAGCATCATTTTTATTTGCAGGAATTACAAATATTTTTCAATAAAATGTTCTGGAACAAGTTAAAAGTAGCAATTTTATTAAAGTTTCAAATTAACCATATGAGCGTATGAGTAATATGAATTATAAAATTTAATTACAATAAGTATACGTTCCCACCTACGACCAAGTACATAGCATACATAGTACACTTAAACTTGACTTAAAGTAGACTATAGACTAGACTATAGATTAGATAAAAGACTAGACTATAGACTACTATAGACCTTTTCCTTTTCAAAACAAAAAATATTTCTTAGCAAAGTTGTATTAGTTCTAGAACTCATGATTACGGCTTTAAAATCAATGATTTTTATTCGAAATTGTCATCTTCGAAACTGGAGTCGAATTACCGAATATATGATTGAGTAAAATTTAAAATGTGAACACAGTATATTGTTTATATTTTATTTCTTGTATTAATTAATTTAATAAGAATGACAAAATAATGCTTTTCATACCCTTCCATAAACAATTTTTATATGTATGTATACGTAAATATATTAATTTTCGTTAAGAACAATATTACAGCCCAACAAACCGGGACCAGACCAAGTGTGTGGTATTAATATTAAATCTAATAACTCATTATTACGCAGTACCTTTAAGGGAACACGACGATCACTCATATGTTTAACTATATTCGCAATAGTTTCAAGTTTTTTATTGAAATTATTAGCATTTGCTGATCCAAATTCGCAGATTTCATCATTAATGCGTAGTCCCTAAAAAAAACATTTTGTTATTTATAAACAATAGCAAATTTTAAAGGATTTAGAGAGTCTCCAATTTCAAAACATTTGTTTATAATTGACCACTCAAAAAGTTTCTTTGTGGATTTTAAGACAGTAACAGGGTCATTTTAGAAAACGAAAGAAAAAACAGTGTATTTATACATTTCATTAAGTTTAAGAGAATTTTGAGTCTCAACACCGATATTCGGTAATGTCATATCTATTCTCACTATCTATCATGTGACACAGACATCTCAAAATCCTTTTACATAAATCTATATTAATCACACTTACAGCTTCTTCGGCCGGCGAACCTGGCGCAACATTCTTCACTTTTAAAATAGGCTTTGGTGGCAATGCCTCGGCCATTTCACTATCATCTGAAGAGCTATCATTTAAATTCATGCCGGCCGCCTTATGAGACAATTGCTGGGAAGTCTGAGCTTGTTTGGCCTCAGCATGTAATTCATGCATTAATTGTTCGATTTCTTTCATCAAGGCTTTATGATCGTTCTGTAGACAAATAATTTGTTGTCTGGCCTGACGCACTTGATAGACATCAATGTCATTGCGAGGAAATCCTTCGGCATCTACTAAAGGTCCCGACATGCCAACATTATCATTCTGTTAACAAATGTAAATAAATATATTTTTTAATATACACATTGTTTATATACAAAACAAAAATTGCCAAATCATTGTTTATGCGTGTGCTTGAATACAAACTTACTTGCGCCAATATTACTCCATAAGTATTTATTTGTGCTTCTAATTTGTCTTTATCGGACATAAGTTTAAATAATTTAGTTTCCAAAGGATTTGTGTTGGGAACAACCATTTTTGTTAACTTTTTCTTGTAATATTTCTTTTTATTTACGTTTCAGTTTGTTTACAAGTTGTTGCTATAAAAAATTATTCTTATTAGAATATTTGACAGTTGGCTAAACAAAGATGCCAGAATTGTTTAGCTACAAAAAATCGCTGGTTTAATTAAAGGTTTAAAACACAGTTTAAAAATGTTTTAAATTTAAGTCATTTTTGTAAAATGTGTTTTTTATCATCTAAAACTTATATTTTTTAATACAAATTTTATTAAAGTTACTTCTTATGTTTCTAATGCTACTATTTTCATTGTTTACAAATTCTGGCAACTTTCAACACACCATTTTTTTCTAGCCAAACAGCTGACAACTGTCTTTTTCATAGAATACCAACTGTCAAGGAAAAATAGTTGAAGTGGATTTCACTTTTCGTGTATAGTGTGCTTGACTAAGAAAAAAAATTATAAAAATTCCTCAATTATCCTTGAAAATAATTATATATTTTATGGAAATAGCATAAATACTAAATTGTATTAGAAATACATTAGTTCTAGCAACTAAAATAGTCATTTTGTAGACTATTTTGTACTGAAAACAAAATATAAATTCTAAAGGTACCTACTTTGCTAAACACTTCGCCCGGTTGGTAATCATAAAGAAAAAGAAAGACTTCAGCTTTAAAGTACTTAAATAACAGGCAATAGGCTATAAATTAGATTTGTAACAAAAATCAGAAACAAACAGCATGAGCCTGCACAGATGGCTGCATCGCCGAGAATATGGTTTACCTTCGAATCGTGGAGATTTCGACAATATTATGCATCGGGTTTATGGCTCAATCGATGATTTCAAACATTGGAATGATTTACCCAATCAAACTTCAGACTATGGAGCTGTATTTAATTTGGAATTCTCACCAAAAGGGTTAATACTTAGAAGCGCAAGGAAACTGTTTATTTATTATGTATAAATGTTGTATGTTTATTCTATTTTAGCAATGTTCTGGTAGCTGCGTGTGAGAAAAAGTCCATATTGCTATTTGATGCCATCACCCAAAGGCAGACGCATAAAATCAAAGATGCTCATACGGATAATGTTAATTGTATCAAGTAAGTTAAAGAGTTTAAAGAGATTTTTAATGTAATGGTTGAATTAAAAATGTACAATCTATGTTGGAAAGATTCTCGAAAGTCCTTTCCTGAGGAAAAAGTTTTCGGTTGATACAGCTGACGCTGGGTTCACAAACTCTGTAAATATTGTCGATAGTCATTCTTGAAAGTTTTTTAAAGTCATCAGATTCAGTCCATTCCTCAATAGCCCTGAAAATGGTGTCAAGCTAAAACAGTTTATGGAGGAGGTAAACAATTTATTGAAGGCATTGGAATTAAATCCTCTAGGCCAGCGAAACGCAGAGAGCTCTCAAACGAGCTCTTGTATAAAAAACAAACAAAACCAGTCAGAGATCTAATATTTTTACTGCCTTTCACTGCTTTAGGTACCGCTATAAAAACCGCTCCTAACTCGCTTCGGTATTATCGTATTAAATGGAAATGAAACCCAGTATATATATATGAGAAGACATTTGAATGTGAATGGGAGGAAACTAAGTTTTTTAAATAACTAGATTCGATCGTTTTCTGAGAGTTTCTAAAATTTTATTTTTTTTAAATATATATATCTCTAATACCCCATCGCTTTTTTAACATAATTAATAACAACTGCAAATGTTTTTACATAAATTAAATTTAGATTTCTCGATGAACGCATGTTTGCCACATGCTCCGATGACACAACCGTTGCTCTATGGGATTTACGTTATTTGAAAATGAAAGTACGCAGTCTACATGGCCATTCGAATTGGGTTAAAAATATTGAATACTCCAATAAAGACAATCTATTAGTGACTTCCGGTTTTGATGGCAGTATTTTTACATGGGACATCAATTCGCATACCGAACAGGGACTTATATATCAAAAGGTATTTCATACAAGTGGTTTAATGCGTTGTCGCATAGCGCCCGATTGTAGTAAGTTGGTAATTTGTTCGACCGGTGGTTATTTGATGATAATACACAATTTAGACTTAACAACTTTACATAAGGATTTAAATGGTTTCCGGGTGAGTTTTTACTCTAGATTTGAAACAAAATGCGAAGAAAAAAAGAACAAAAATAACAAATATTATTTATTTTTTTATATTAAATAGCCAAGTATTTATCGTTTAATGCAAATGGGTCATCAGTATATACCACAAGCGGCTAAATTTGATCATGTTTTCTCTAAGAAACAAAAGAAAAATCGTGTTGAATTGGTGACTGATTTTCCAGAAGAAAATGATGCTGAAGTAGTGTTAGCTTTACAAGTATGTAAACAACTATAAAATGAAACCTTTTTATATTTAATATCTATTAAATTTTAGATCCATCCTCAAGGGCATTCAATACTAAGTCGTAATATAAGCTATGATGAAAAAACCGAATGGTCATGCATACACGATATCAATGAAGAGCCAGGCGACATAACCGAACGCATTAAAGAGGAACACATTAGTTCGAGACGAAAGCGTAAATTACAATGTGACAGCGATGATGAGACACGTACTGGTTTGGGCGAAGAAAGTGGCGATTCTGATGATGTTTTATTTAGCATAAATCGTAGACAACGTACTGTACGCTCACGTTTATCTTTGTCACGTTTACCCCCACCGCCACCCTCTTCCGTACAGTCTACCAGTTCCACCTCAAATGCCAATAACACAAATTCAACAAGTAATCAACAGCAGCAGCAACAGCAAGCCACAAATCAAAGACCTGAATCTTTTATACCCGATATTTGGGCAGCTGAGGTAACTGTGCACGAACGAGCTATACGACAAAATCGTGCGCGCAACTCAAATGCTGTTACCGGCTACAATTACGTTTATGCCATAAGTAGCGGTGTCTTGCCAGCAGCAGCAGCAGCGACAGCTTCACGCAACACAAACTCAGATTCAACTAATGCACACTCAACCGATTCATCCTCTAGACGGGGGCGTTCGTCTTTCCCCGATCTAGCCGCATCAACTGATGGCAGCAGCACTTCCAGCAGTGATTCTCCCCCTTATGTACCCTTTGAACGTGTACGTCCTATAACAATACCTCCTAAACGCAGCAGTTATCATCGTGAACGTAAAATCTTTCAGAATCCCAAGAAACTCATGTACTATATACAAGAACCGAACAAAGGCAAAGGTTTCATTAAAGAACCCAGTTTCTCGGCCGATGGTCGTATTGTGTGCTCACCCTACGATAATGGCGTCCGATTGCTGGGCTATAGTGATATTTGCTCTGAGTATCCCAGACATTTTCAAGAGATCAATAGCATCAAACAAAATCCACGTACTTTGCATGTGCTTAAAGAACTAAAAGCTCACGACGATATTGTTCTCAGTACGAAATTTAGTCCACGTGAACCTCTACTGGTCAGTGGTTGTAAGAGTGGTAAAATAGTTTGGTATCATCCCATATTGTAAATGGTTATTACATATTTTTATTATTGAGAGTTTGTATTTGTATTTTTTACATAAAACCGAAAAATATACGTATATTTTTTTATTTTATAACAAATTCATCTCTTGAATTATATAGTTTTTATGTAAAGCATAATAAATTTTAAGTTTTTTTTTTATTGGATAATTAATCTTGATTTTCCTAAAGAGTTTTAATTATTTGTAATAACAATATATAAATTTATAAGTGCGTTTGTGTTTATTAAAGAAAACATATTTTTAAATCATTGGAATGAAAATTAAAGCATTATTTTTTAATATAATAAAATATAAAAAAAATAAATAAAAAGTAATTAAAAACGTTTATTAAAATTAAGAAAATTAATGAATAAATAAATATGAATAAATTTTTTTTTGTTTGGAATTATTTATTAAGCAGGAAGCTTAGAAATGAAACAAAAATAAAAGAATATAATAAAAAAAGGTCTGGAATGAAAATCGAGTTTTGATAAAAAATTTTTTTAATCAGTATTCAACTCTATGAGTTACCAACCTCAAAACAAACGCATAATATCCTCCCCACTATAGTGGTGTAGTGTATAAAGATTGGAAAATGGAAGTAGAAAATGAGAAAACACTTACCTTTTACTGCATTCGGATTGTTCTTAGATCTACAAATCTAATTCTTCCATATGTTTACATGAAAAACGTAAGCGTGAGGACTTTGGCGAATGAAATTTTCCTAAAATGTTCAGAAATTGCAACCGTTTAGGACAATTGGATATCCGCTACAAAACGTCACGATTCCCAATCGCCCGAAGATTGTAAACTGAGCAACAACTGTATCAACTGGAGTTTTTCCCCCTAGAGAAGAACTTCCAGCAACAATGAAGCTATTACAACAACAAACACATTTCTGTTGATAGTCTTTGGCCAAATTGGAATCGGATTGTCCTATGCTGATAAGCCGATATTTTAATATTTTTCACACATTTTTCTCTGATTATATTTCGTAAAGAATTTGTTTGCAAAAGATACGCAATCTATGATCAAATTATATAAAATGGAAAAAATATATGCAGCCGGACAATTTTTAAATTTTGTGAACATTAATTAATATTTATTTTTTTTAAATATTTTCTCACGTAGAAATTTTATTTTATTAATATAATAATTTTATTGCCATTAAGCTTAATTTTATTTCATACATTGCTAATTTTATTAAATTTTTCACAGAAACAATTTTCACTACAGCCGCAAACACTAAGCTTTCAATTGTTTACATTTGTATAGTTTTTGACAGAAAAACGAGTTTTGCTAAAAGAAAAACTTATCAATTTAACAATATAACAATTTTTTTACTTTATTAATATTTTTATATGTATAAATATTTAATTTTTTATTAAAATTTTCACAGAAACGACAAATTTTCTTAATAACCTGAAGATCGCGCCGAAACGTACTAAAAAAATAACAACATAACAACAGAGTTGTATTTTTTGACAATTGAAAAAAATGTAACAAAGAAAAAGAGATTACGGATGTAGAGTTGCCAGATTTAGGAAAATTATAATTATTTTCAGATTTTAAATAAAATGATACGGAAAGGAAACGGAATTGAGTAACAGGAAATGAATATTAGAAAACCAGAGTTGACAGTGGAAATGAGTAACAGGAAATGAACATTAGAAAACCAGTTGTCAATTTTTTTTAAAATTTAAAGTATGTGAGGTTTTATTAGCTCATTTTGTATTTTCCTAAAAAGTGTTTGATGTTTTTTTTTTTTTGTTAAAACAAAAAGATTTTTACAATTTTAAATTGTTGACTTTCACACTTTTGGCAGCATTGTGCCCTTTTTGTATGATTTTTAAAAGTTTATGTTAAAAATACGATTCTTTCAGGTCGGATTATGCACTTTTGTAGCATCGTAGAATTGTGAAATTTCGGTCTATGTGAGATTTGATTACGATAGTTCACAAGATACTTACAATTATCTCAAAACAATTTAAATAAAATCACCATTTTTACTATTTTATTTAGATATTTATTTCGTTTCTTCTATTCCAACTAAATGCACACTAAAATACTACAAAGAAACAAAACGAAAAAAAGAATTGTATTCAAAGTATTTTTTTTGGTTTTTTATTTATTTATTTTAGTGTTATTTGGATAAAAATTTAATTGTTTACAATGCCCAGTTTAAAATAAAACTCACTCTTTACAGCAGAGAGTTGTAGTAAGTGCAAGAAAATGAAAACAACTGCATGACTTAGGAATTTTTGCTCTTTACTAGTAAGAGAAAAATCTAAATCTAAGATAAAGCAATACAACTAGTATGTACGTATGTATATATTATTGTATTAAATAAAAACAAATAAATGAACAAAAAAAAAGTTTTTTTTTTATATAAAAAAATCTTAAAACAATTTGTATTTGTATGTATGTACTAAAAATGTTATGTATGTATAGTTTTATATATATGTAGCAATATATTAAGAGAACATTAATTAAGTTGGTATATTATTTATATACTCTTCTTGGTCAGCAACGCAAAACGTATGAGAGAAAAACAAAATCTTAGGATTTAAATGAAAAAACACTAATAATAAAAAAATATGTATATAATTATTTTATAATTATAAAAGTAATTTTCAAAAAAAAACATCGTTTGTTTGTTATAAGAATAAAATTGGGGTTTTTTTGTGATTTTTTTTCTTTGTTTTCTTTTATTTTGTATTTTAATAGTAATTAGAGTAACCACTCCATTGGCCGTAACCACTATAGCCGGTATTGTACTGCCAATGATTGTAATAACTATCGTAGGATTGTTGTTGTTGAGGATATGAACCACTACTACCACTATTCTGTTGGCCATAGTAGGCTGCTGAACTGCCAGAACCATAATTATAACCGGACGTTGCCGCGGATGAGCCATTGTTATAGGCCGACTGTGTTGAGGTGGATATTGATGAGGCATCTTTATGACCAGATTTACGGCTAGGACTATTTTCACTGTGAATGGAAATTGTTTTAGATGGTTCGTTTTTATAAAATTACAAAGAGATAAAGAGAGAAAATACATAATTGGAAGAAAAGTTTGTGGAAAATTGACGAAGTTTACTTTATTATTTATCATGTCGATATATTTCCACTATTGCCTTTCTTTCTGTCTATTTATCTATCTATGTATGTATCTATCTATCTATCTATCTATCTATCTATCTATCTATCTATCTATCTATCTATCTATCTATCTATCTATCTATCTATCTATCTATCTATCTATCTATCTATCCATCTATCTATCTATCTATCTATCTATCTATCTATCTATCTATCTATCTATCTATCTATCTATCTATCTATCTATCTATCTATCTATCTATCTATCTATCTATCTATCTATCTATCTATCTATCTATCTATCTATCTATCTATCTATCTATATATCTACCTATCTATCTATCTATCTATCTATCTATCTATCTATCTATCTATCTATCTATCTATCTATCTATCTATCTATCTATCTATCTATCTATCTATCTATCTATCTATCTATCTATCTATCTATCAATCTATCTATCTATCTATCTATCTATCTATCTATCTATCTATCTATCTATCTATCTATCTATCTATCTATCTATCTATCTATCTATCTATCTATCTATCTATCTATCTATCTATCTATCTATCTATCTATCTATCTATCTATCTATCTATCTATCTATCTATCTATCTATCTATCTATCTATCTATCTATCTATCTATCTATCTATCTATCTATCTATCTATCTATCTATCTATCTATCTATCTATCTATCTATCTATCTATCTATCTATCTATCTATCTATCTCTCTATCTATCTATCTATCTATCTATCTATCTATCTATCTATCTATCTATCTATCTATCTATCTATCTATCTATCTATCTATATGTCTATCTAAAGGTTTGAAATATGTTTTTATCATTCCAATTATGCGTTACTCCGCAGATAACGCTTCAAAGTTGTTAGACAAACTATTGATTATCAACTTTAGGAGGTATGATTTCTTTAGTCCCACGCAAATTCTCCTTTCATGTGTCAAGATTAAGAATATATAAATCTAACTTACCGTTTCTTTTTAGCTTCATTAGCTTTATTTAAAGCTAATTGTAAAGCTCTTTGTGCATCCTGTAAGCCCTTGGCCGAACTACCGAAATCTTCTAGAAATTCTACTTTACGCTGAGCAAATAAAACTTTCTGTTCGGGTTCGATGTTTTCACGGGCCATGAATTTATCCATTATCAAGACGACCTCATCCTCATCGACTGTGGTGCGCTGTAAAGCCAAATCAATCATTTGTAAGGCCACACGGGTGTTAGCGCTATCCTTGTCGAGTGCTTGTCGTAAAACCTTTAGGCCACCCTCTAAATCTTGACAAATTTTATTTAAAAATCTAGCATATTTAATGGCTAAACTGCCGGCTATATTTTTATTCTTAGCGGTATTTATATAATGTTCATACAAAGTTTTACATTTTTCATAATCGCCACGACGACGTTCGACATTGATGCGTCGGTAGGCCACCTGCAAGAGATTAGGTACTCTCTTTTCCAAATTCACCAAAATTTCGGCAGCACGATCGAAATTATTTTGACATTCCTCAAACGCGGCCCACATAAGATGCAGACTGGGTTTGTCGGGATGGTGGATTTCACAGGCTCGGCGATAGACATCGCTGGCTATGGCCGGTATACCGGGTTGATCGATTATGGTCTCTAAATAACGTATCATTTTCAGCCAAAATTCATCGTATAAAGCACAGGCTATTAAACATCTTTCGAATAGCACTAAGATGCGTTTGCGATCTCCTTTTTCAATTTCGAAATCTAAATAATCTTTCCAATTCTTTAGTTGACATCTTTCCAAGGGTTTTACATGGAAATAGGGTCTCTTAATGCCCTCTTCAAATGTCCAGCGGGCGGTAATGGCTGATACAGTGCTTTTATGTATTTTACGTCTTAATGATATGATTTTATCTTTAATCGCATGGATTTCCTCTTCAGTAAGTGTGGTTAAATCACCCAAATCTTCTGTTGGTTTTGGGGTTTTAGAATCTTCTTCCGTAACCATTGCTTCGACATTAGATTCGTTATCAGTTACTTCATCATTTGAAACTTTATCGGGATTTTCTTTATCTTTGTCGCTGTCACTTTCCTTGTCTTTATCTTTATCTTTTTCTTTCTCCTTCTCTTTATCCTTATCTTTTGTTTCAGTGTCTTTATCTTTTGAACTGCCACGTTTTGATTTGGAACGCGATTTTGTTGCAGAAGCGGATTCCTTTAGTTCCGTACGTATCTTTTTGATTTCTTCTGCTGTTATAGTACTGGTTATGGAGTGTTGATTAATTAAATCTTGGAAACTGTAAAATAAAATTAGATTTTCTATCAATAAAGTTCTAATACATCTATATATATAAAATTCTAACGTTACTGACTGACTGACTGACTGATTCACTGACTGATTCATCATCGCACAGCCTAAACGGTTGAAGCTAAAGAGCTGAAATTTGGACAGGAGGTTGGTCTCCCGCCAAATAGATCCACTAAGACGGGATTTTTGGAAATTCGAATATTTAGGGGGTAAAAAAGGGTAAAAACGGGTAAATTCGGTAACCTTATATCTCCTAAACTAGAAAAGATACAAAAACAGTTTAAAGCTTATCGCCGTTCATTTAAAAAATAAACGGACAGGTGTCTGGTACTTTTTTAAAATTCGGCCCCTTTAGGGAATAAACGGGTAAAAACTGTATTTTGGTACTTTTTTCGCACCCCATGTATCTTTTAAACCAGTGCACATTCAAAAAATATTTTTGACTCCTTCATAACTT